TCTGACTGAAGCTCTTTCCACATTCAATGCATTGATATGGTTTCTCCCCCGTGTGGGTTCTTCGATGTTTAGCAAATGATCCACTGTCACTGAAGTTCTTCCCACATTCCGTGCACTTGTATGGTTTCTCCCCTGTATGGGTCCTTTGATGTAATTGTAGGCACCCCCTCTGACTGAAGCTCTTTCCACATTCAAGGCACGTATATGGTTTCTCTCCTGTGTGGGTCCTTTGATGTGATGGTAGGTACCACCTCGAACTGAAGCTCTTTCCACATTCAGGGCATGTATATGGTTTGTCCCCTGTGTGTGTTGTTTGATGTGAACGAAGGCTACTGCTCCGACTGAAGCTCTTTCCACATACCATACACAGATGTGGTTTCTCTCCAGTGTGGATTATTTGATGTGAACGTAGTTGCCCACACTGACTAAATCTCCCCCCACATTCCAAGCATTGATATGCTTTCATCTCTGTGTGTGTTCTTTCATGTAAACACAGGTATCTACTCGAACTGAAGCTCTTCCCACATTGTATGCACGTATACGGTTTCACTCTTGTGTGGGTTCTGTGATGTTTACTATATGACTCTTTCACCTTCATTTAGAGGTTCTTCAATTCCTCCTCACTTTCTGCCATCAGAGTAGTATCATCTGCATATCAGAGGTTGTTGATATTTCTTCTGGCAATGATGGGAACTAAGCTTATTGTTGATGTTGAAGCTCCTCCCTATTCCATAAATTTATACGGTTTCTTTTCTGTGTGTCTTCTTTCATTTGAAACTTGATGTCCACTCATACTGAGAAACTTTCCACATGCCCTTCTTCATTTTTTGTGTGTTGATTATTAGATTAAGGTTCTCAAAAACATCAGAGGCCAAAGAAGCACAGGGTTGCTTCTCACTGTTTTTCATTCGCTTCTCCCATCCCCTCTATGGTCCATTTTAGTCCCAAACTTCATTTTCCCTATGTCATGCTGATTTGTTTTCTTTTTGTCCTTTTTTTTCCTGAAATAAAAGGGGAAAGATTCCTCAGTTCAGTATAGAAGCAGAAGGGGTCATGCCCTGTTTCATCTTCAAGGATACATCCCTCCTTAGCACCCTACGCTAAATCTGTTCTTTTAGAATAGGCTTCCCTTCCCTAGCTAAACTCTATGACTCTCGGACTGCATCCTAATTCCTTGGCGGATGTCATGAAACTCCAAGATCAGAGAAGCTTGTGGGTCCATCATAATGGACCTTTCTCTAGTATGTCTAGAGGAGGATGTCTAGAGGAGTCCTAAATTCCATTGTTTCTTGAACAAGTCTATGTATGCAAACAAAATAGAGAAGCAGCATAAGAAGAGTTCTATCTAGTGACTGTTTCAAAATTAAGTATCAAAAACTGAGCAAGAAAGTTTCAAATATGTGGCAATGAAACCATGTCAATTTCTATTATATCATTAAAATTGTAACATTTTGTGTCCTACCTCTAGTAGAGCAACTATAATCCATCATCTCCAATTGTTTTTCCTCTTCCTTTCCTATTTCAAATTGTAGGATAATTCAGTTCTTTGTCACTTTCTAAATGGTAGTTTTTCTGGGGGACTCCTCTTCAACCCCTCAACCGTTTGCCTGTGGTGTGTCTCCGAGTTCCATGACTCCCCATTCTATTTCACAGACACCTTAAAAACCTGGAAGAGACTGTCCAGGATTTTTTGATCTGGTACCATCAGTGTGCTGATGACACCCAACTCCATCTGCTTTAAAAGAGCTGAGAACTTTCTCTTAGTCTCTCAGACCCCAGTGTGTGTGGTCACCCAGCTTCTCTCCCTACCATAGAAGCTATAGAAGATGGTTGGGGTTATTCATACATGAATATCCCCTCACAGTTGCAGATACTGAGGGCCTGGCCCTAGGGGGCCAATCACTCATGATTCCACCGCTGCCACGAGCCCCGCCTTGCCTTCCTATCACTTCATTACTCACGATGGATTACCAGAAGGCGGGATGACGAGTCTCTCTGCCACGAAGAACAACAATCATTACGTGCTTTCTCTTTCATCAGTTTCAACATTCATTGTGAAAAACAGCAGTATTTTTGCACCAACACCAAATCGAGTCAAATATTTTGACTCCAGCTCCAAGCTTCTCTGTCCAGTTGAGAATTATAGGTATTATAGACATGAACTAATAAATGTAATATGAATCTTTGTGCCAATGACATGGACATGAAAGATCTCATCACTTCTTCACGTATAGCACTTCTAAGGATTTTTGAAGTCATGTGATTCCTGGGAAGAAGCAGTTAATGGTTAAGCCAAAGAAAGATGAATGGAATCTGCTGATTGGCATGTTTGTAGGACACAACATTTCTGATTCTTTCAATGTGTTTTACAAAACCTCTGAGGGGCTGGGTACCCTTGTTTCCCCACACTCAGTCTTTGGTGGGCTGCACCACAGCTTCTCAGTTTTTCGCATCTCTCAGAAATCTTGGGGGAATTAAATGCATTTAAATGCAACACGTACTCCCTGGCTGGTCAGAAATAGGAAGCACGTGGCAGATCACTTCCGGTTTCTTAGAAAAACAAAACAAAAAAAGGCTAATGCTGGATTCAATGAGGCCTGAAGGCAAAATTACTTTGAAGAAGCATGTTTTGTCCCTTGTTGATTTTTGCATCAACTCATGGAGCTTTCACCCCACCCTTGATCCCATTTGGTCTCACCTTTCAGCCCTAAAATTGCCTGCTCTACATGAAACACCAGAACACTGAACACTCTCCAGAGCTTGTCCTCCATTCAGATTTAAGACAAATGTAAGGTCAGGGTGAAGGACTTTGTTCTATCCTAATCGGTTCTCTCAAGTGCAGAAAAAGGGGGGAGTGGGGTGCAAGGGAGGGAGGGGGCCTCCTCTGGCAGCCCTGGAGAAGGAAGGCTGCCCTGCTCTACCCACTGAGCTCTGCTTCTCCCACCCCCACAGGCTTCTTCAAACTTCCCGGAAAGTCTTCACATCTGGAGCTGGGGGGACCTTGGCATCTGAAGCCAAGAGGGTCCCTATCCGGTCTGGATCAGGAAGGATGGGAGGGCTGGTAAAACAAATCGTGGGGAGAGGTTGGCAGCCAGAGAAGGAGTCCGGGAGGCCGCTCGGAGGGGAGGGGTCACCGCTCCGGAGGGGGGGGCGATGCCGGGAGATCCAGGGGGTCCTTCCTTCTTCCTTTCCTCCCCCAGGAGTCCCTCTGGAGCGCCTCCCACTCCCCCCCCCGCCGTCGGGACC